ATCAGCAAAATGACAAGGTTGATGACATCTACACTACGGGAATGATCTTTGAACTATCCTAGGATGAAGCGCAACACACATAGGCATCCAAATCAGCAAAATGACAAGTTTGATGATATCTACACTAGAGGAATGATCTCCGAAGTATCCTAGGATGAAGCGCAACACATATAGGCATCCACATCAACAAAATGACAAGATTGATGACATCTACACTAGGGGAAACATCACCGAAGTATCCTAGGATGAAGCGCAACACACATAGGCATCCTCATCAACAAAATGATAAGTTTGATGACATCTACACTAGGGGAATCATCTCCGACCTATCCGAGGATGAAGCGCAACACACACAGGTGTCCAAATCAGCAAAATGACAAGATTGATGACATCTACACTAGGGGAATGATCTCCGAAGTATCCTATGATGAAGCGCAACACACATAGGCATCCACATTAGCAAAATGACAAGTTTGATGACATCTACACTAGGGGAATGATGTCCGAACTATCCTAGGATGAAGCGCAACACACATAGGCATCCAAATCAGCAAAATGACAAGATTGATGACATCTACACTAGGGGAAACATCACCGAACTATCCTAGGATGAAGCGCAACACACRTAGGCATCCAMATCAACAAAATGACAAGTTTGATGACATCTATACTAGGGGAATGATCTCCAAAGTATCCTAGGATGAAGCGCAACACACATAGGCATCAAGATCAGTAGAAATCACAGTTTTGGAGGGAGGAAGAAGATGAGGGAGGGGGAGAAGAAGAAGGGGAGGAGGAGGAGGAGAAGGGAGAAGGGGAAGAAGAGGAGGAAGAAGAAGAGGGGGAAGAGGAAGAAGGAGAGGGATGAGAGGAAGAAGAAGAAGAAGAGGAAGAAAGGAGGGAGGAGGGGGGGAAACTTCCTCCCTTCCCACTCACCTCTTGTTGGTCCCTAGGCAGTGTAGTCCCGAGCTTGGTTCTAGCTCCTTGAGTATGGCTTCCCCACCTCCCAAATTCTCTCCTCCTTCTCTCACTCCTCTTCTCAAGTTATGGCAGGCGCCTACCTCTAAGGCTATGGAGTCCTTCCCTCTAGAAGGGCTAAGGGGACCCCTTTCAGCCTCTCCTCCTACCTCACAGCCTGAGGGCTATGGCGGACCACTCCCCTTGCTTCCTCCTAGCCTCTAGGCCTTCTCCCTTAGTCTCATCACCATAGCCAGGCTCCAGGCACTCCGGCTCTCACTTCCTTGCTCTATCTCACTAGTACTCACTCACGGACTCATTTGGGCAGCATGGGCTCCTCTCATGCTCAAGTGGGAGTGGCGGCCTGCACCTCCAGCTTATGTAGGCTGCAACTGGTGCACCGCCCAACCCTTAGGCCTCTCCAAGTCCCTCTAGGTGGACCGAGGTGCCCCCAAGGCCAAATTTCCGGTTTTGGCCTATCTGGAGGTACCTGGGCCTCATTTTGGCCAGGTACATGCAGCCTGAAAGGCCGGTACTTTCTCGGATTACCCCTTGGTGTACCCCGGCCTCTTTTTACTTCAAAAAGAGCTGCCTTTTGGGGTACCCCTTCCCAAAATGCAGCCTTTACTGAATTTTGAGGGCCTAGAGACCCATTTTTCGTCTTTTTCCTGGTCTGGGCCTCTTTTGGGTAGGCCGTTGCATTTTTCCAAGTGGCGGCTCCAATCCCAGCCTTGGATTTGGCTGAGATCCATGGTTCTCATCATTCCGAGCTACCCCGAAGCTCCCCTCGGCACAAATTTGAGCCTTTTACTTCAATTTTCAATTTTTTTGGTGTATCTGGCCCAATCCTTGGGCCAAATACGCAGTTTTGTCTTGTTCCTTTCTTTGTTTTCCCTCCATTTTGCTGCCAACTCATTCCGGAGCTAGCCGTTTTGTGTCAGCCCACAAAAAACGACTGGATCTACTCCTCCGCAAGATCTGATTTCAGATCCAAGGCCCAAAAATGAGCCGGCCAACTCACATCAGCATTTTTCTTTATTTTTGTTGCTTAAATTCAGATATTGCAGAGATAATGCCCCAAGGACCTTATCTCTGCAATCCGGACTGCCCTCCTAGGATCTAGGAGGGATGAGGTCATCATTGAGACTTGCCAGTCCCTACCGCTGCAGTCCCAACCTGGCGGCACTTTTTCCTCCACTCATTCCTCCTCCTTTGTTTCATTCTCCCCCCATTTTCTCCCCCTTTTCCCTCCTTTCTCTTTTATTTACTGTTGGGACAAGTGTCCAACAACTATTTCTACTCTTTCTAGCTGTTGGACCTTCCCCAAGACCTGATTTTGCAACCGGCATATGGCCGTTACACCTCGGACTGTAGTAGTGGCACCCACAAGGCCAAAGGGGGCTCCTTTTTTGCCGCCGCCGCTTCCAGTTTGAGACCCCCTTGCTCCGATTTTCTCCGACCAACCCTTTTTCCACGTGGAGCCCTTGGACTTCGTTTTTTCTTGGCCTGGTTGATCCGGGATACTCGGACTGCTGGCCGGCCCCCCCTTACTGCCGCTACTCCCTCTCCTCGTTCCCTTCGGCACCTCCCGCCGGCACTTGCCGCGGCGGAGCTTAGCATTCTCATCCGAACCCCCTGGCCCGGAAGGTCCCATCCATCTGATGTTATGTTATTTCATTTTTGTCGTTGTTGCATTTGATCCAGGGTCCCCTTGGGTTGCCCCAGGTGCCTTCCGTTTTTCCCGTCTCACGTCTGTTTCCTTCATTCTGTCGTCAATTTCCGTCGACGCCCACCTTCTCCCTATCCTCTTATTATTCCTAGTCCGTTCCCCCTTTTCTGGCGTCGTCCCAGGTGACGACCTGTTTTCTTCTTGGGTCATCATGCATCCCCGCTGCCCAGTCGTTCGTTGTTCCGTCGACGGTTCCTAGTCCCGCCGGTAATTCCGCATTTTTGCCTGGTCCCACGTGGTCCCTGACACTTTGCCCTGTCGGTACCATGTCTTCTCTTGGTCTCACGTGGTCTCGGGCACTTTGTTCCGTCGGCACCACATCTCCTCTTAATCTCACGTGGCCCCCGACGCTTTGCTCTGTCGATGCCACGTCTTTTCTTGGTTTTGTGTGGTCCCCGACGTTTCGTCCCGCTGATACCACGTTTTCTCTTGGTGTTTCCGACGTCCCTCTGTCTCACGGCGATCTCCGCTC